AAGGGTTAGGCAAATTCACATACTAATATTGGTTCTACATAATGGCACACTTTAAATGATCATGGAAAGTTGTAAGCTACTGGTTCTCCTAATTTTACTTGGACAGTGACTTGAAATCAAGAAATTTTGAGAGTATACCCATGGATCATGAACACAACCTATTTCAACAACGATTGAAAAAACTAAATAACCTTAGCTCCTAAAATTTAAAAACAATGAACATCCCAATGTATAGGCTCTCATCACTGTGCGGTCTAGGACGAATGAGATGTATGCAACCTTACCTCTATACATTGAGGAACTTTCCCGCAACTCGAACTTGTAGCAATGGAGCAATCTTACTGTTGCATGAAGACATGCCCTCGTTATTTATTGAATCTAATAAACTATAAATTAAACTATACTGGTAGCTTATAATCTTGAATATAACTTAATATTGAGCTTAGTTTAATGCGCCCTAAGAGAGCTTCATATGAAATTCTCGATTTGACCTTTGTCTCCTTCGTACGTTCTGCATAATCACTATGAAGTGGAAATGTTACCGTTTTGAGTGCAGAGTGGTTTTCAAGAGAGAGAGAGAAAGGAAGGGTTCTATGGAGGGAGAGAGAGAAGAGGAAGACACATAACTGAAAATGAGAAAAAGCTCAGTAGCTGAACCAGCTCCTAGTCTTAGCTAGTCCAATAATAATGAAGATAGTGATGGAGTTAACAACCTTTGCAGCTGTGTGGGCTTGCGTCGACCTATGGGTATTCTACCCATTTGGTTGGGCAGTTTTATACAAGTGTAATTGACAATAGAGGAGTGGATAAGCATTTTAAGGGTGGAAATGCCGAGTCCTAAATTAGAAGCCTGACTAATGTTATATGATTTGGTGATTAAAAAAAGGAATAAAACGTTCTTACTTATGAGGTTGTAAAACGAACTAAAATACTTGAGCTTGGCTCATACTTGCTTTGTTGCTCATGGATTTCAACTCCTTTAATAAACAAGCCTTACATGAAAACATATTAAAGCTTATCAACATATAAATTCATAGCTCAGCTCAAACTAGGTAAAGATCTAAATAACTTGAGCCTGACCCATGATTGACCCAGTTAGGTGCTTGCTCGCCTAATTCAATCTTTCTTTTGAAGTTGAATAAAATGAGGATGCAAGCTTAAGCAATCCACTACTCAACTTGAATGTGGCTCATGTACACCCCTATGTACGTGTCATAACTTTACTTGAATTGAAGTTAGAGTGCTTTGCACACCAACGAAAAATGAGAAATGGTAAGAGCAGTGAAACTTCAATGCTACATTTGTATAAAAACAACAGTTTTGTTCTTCTTCCCATAAGCAAGATGACATGCACTAGGAAGAGTTGGGCGTTCCTACACCTACATCTGGCTTGTCGTGTTGTTTCCTATCTTATTGATCTTTTGCAGGGCTGACATTTGGTCATTTGGAATAACTGCTCTGGAGTTGGCTCATGGTCATGCGCCATTTTCAAAATACCCACCAATGAAGGTATATACCTGAACCTGTGAGACTTAAGCTTACAATACTGAAATAACTAACTTTGCTTTCCTGCCATAGGTTCTCTTGATGACCATGCAGAATGCCCCTCCTGGACTTGATGATGACCGAGATAGAAGGTTCTCTAAGGTACCCGTATTCTTCTCATCCACTATGTTCATGGGACAAGTACAACCATATGTCTTTCATAATTCCATAAACATGACACGGAGGAACGTAAGATCAAGTCTTCTACGCTCCCTGGACATAAGTTTGTCAAAAGGCTTCACTGTAGTTGTTAAGTTGTACAATTATCCTTATATGCATTGATGATTAAATTATCCCAGCTGTGAACAGTCTTTCAAAGAAATGGTTGCAAAGTGCTTGGTCAAAGATCAAACAAAGAGGCCTACTGCAGAAAAATTATTAAAACACTCTTTTTTCAAGCATGCTACTCCTCCGGGGCTCTCTGTAAACGAACTCTTTACTGACTTGCCACCACTATGGAATCGTGTAAGAGATCTTCAGGTATGCCATCTCAATGCTATGAAATAGGGTTCTCCCTTTCACTCATCTTAGTATTTCTGTTTAATGCAATTACCATTTTATGCAGCATAAAGATGCTGCACAACTAGCTCTGAAAAAAATGCCTTCAACAGAAAAAGAAGCAATATCACAGGTTAGCAGCATGACTCAAATTACGTGTTTGAGTTAAAATTTGTGTTCCTGTAGTCATTGGACAATACTGCTTGATTTACATGTATTGATTTTTGTTAGTCCCTGTTGTACTTGTCTTATTTTTATTCTCAAAGGAAAGTGCAAAAATTTGCACATGGTGATTACTTCTTATTATACTTCTCTGTTGTATATAAATCTCTTATGGACCATATAGCCTCCAGGAAAAGTGGTTTTCATTATCTCCTCTTATACTTGTCTTCTATTATTCTCATCAGCAAGCGCAAAACTTTGCACCTGGTTATAACTTCTTTTTATCATTTTCTGTAGTCTATAGATCTGTTATGGACAATATTGCCAGCAGGAAAACTTGTATCTCTGTGCCAGCTCTAATTTAAAGAATGACACTGTAGTGAGAGGTGTTAGACCTTTGTGGGGTGATGCTAGTCTTCCATGTTTTCATTTTTCAATTTGAATGTATTGAGAAATTTTTTAGATGATAAAATATAAGAGGAGAAGTAATGAACCTCAAATAAATCAAATTGTAGCCTTTTGATCTTGTATCCGTTCTTATAGACCATATTGTTGCCTAATCATGGCTGGTTTCTGATTTGTTACTGGATTTAATTTTTCTACATTTGTTTCTTCCACGCTTCCCCTTTCTTCTTGCTTTTGAGGTTTTTTTCAGTTTTGGGAGCAGATAATTGTAGCCATATACGTATAAATTGATAGCAATGGAAGGCCAATCCTCAAGTTTTATATGCAAAGTCTCTATTGCTTCTCAATCAAACCCCCAAACACTATGACTTTGATTTGACCCCATAACCAAGACCATAGCCCATTAGCATGTTGCCGCCAAAAGCAAAGAATCTCCTAATTGTTCCAAAGCAACAATAAATGTGAACCAAATTGGGAAAAAAGAAAAGAAAAAAAGAAGCTTTTGACAATGGTTCCGTCAGGCATAAGCCTCATGAGCAGCGATGCAGAAGGTTTTGATAGAGTCCTAAAAAATATGCCGCCATAGAGTCCTCATGATTATTCCGGACAAACACATTTCATTTGGCCCAGAAATTTTGTAACCATCAGGCTATCTACTTCCATGAAGAGAAGCATTTTTTTTAAAAAAAACTTGGAGAAAGGGTGTGAAAACATTTCTCAATTTCCACTTAATTACTTCACTTGAATCCATAAATCAATTTATGGTTGTATTAGCAGCATAGACAAGAACACTAGTAACTTTTTTTCCCTTCTCAAAATGTTTTCAAACTTGTCCTTGCCAAGAAAGTCCTTATTGTTTAAAATCTGTATATATTCATGTCTTGCTGGATTATTCTTTGTAATTAAGTAGTACATATGTATTGATGGACTTATCACACTCTCTAGTATCATGATTCATGTGTTCCGTGTTCATGCTTTGAACTTATGTTTTCTTCATTTAACAATGGATAAATACCCATCAACTTAGGAGAAATAAAGTAAACTGGTAGTGTAACATTATGGACATTTTATTTTTTGCATCGAAAGAAAATTGGAATAGAGGAAATATAGTGTGGGATTTGCTTAAGTGGAACCTAAACTGCATTTGGTTTCTTTTCCTTTTTTTCATCTTCTTTCTGGTGGTAAATTCATGGTTGTCATTGTCAGAGTGAGTATCAGCGAGGTGTTAGTGCGTGGAATTTCGATATTGAGGATCTAAAAGCCCAAGCATCCCAGGTATGTACATTACATTTATTTTCTTTTATTTCTTGTATGTCATATAAAGATAATGACAATCTTGAGTAGCTAGATTCTTGAACTTTCTTAAGTGGTGCAGACGAGTATCTCTCCTTGTGTCAGGTTCAAGATGACGATGAAATACAAGAAATTGGGGAAGAAGATGAGAGCACGGAATCATTTGTCAATCCTACGGTATTTTTTTCCCCTGTAGCAATATTTATATTATTCTGTGGCACTCCAAGTTTGTTTGATCAAATGATGCTTCTGGTTACGTATATGACTAATTTTTTCAAAAGTGTTGCATTAGAAAGAAAAATAGCTCATAAACTTATCACTGGCAGGATGCATCAAATTCCAGATGTACATTAAGGAGATCAAAATATACAAATGGCATTGTTTTCAGGTAACTGTTATACAATCGGTAGTTAAAAAATGCACTAAATTTTCATGCTTGGAATCATATTTATTGTCAAATACATTGCACTAAATTGTGTTTATTTTAGGGTTGTGACATGTGAGATACATATAGTTGTCACTTGTCACAGGGATTATAACCAAATGGTTATTTTTTATAAAATTACTGAATTCTGTGATCCATATGAGGCATTTCAGAACAAAGTGACAATGATGAGTTTTCCTGTGTTGTTTGATTCAAATGAGTAGGATATATAATTAATGCAAGAGAATTTTTTTTTTATTGAAATGTTTTGAGATATTAAATCCAATGACTTGAGATAATCAAAGGTTCCTGATATCAGTTTTGCCAAACGTAGACTAGTTGGAAGTAGTATTTCAATGATAAATGGCGGTGCACACCTGTTGTCACATTTTAAGCATCTTCTCTTTTTAATAAATCTGTTCAGTAGAGCAACCATTTTTGATGAGTTCAAGATTCCACAGATGGCAGTACGCAGTAAACATGTTTTGATGTGATTAACTGCTCAGAGTTTTTAAAAAATTGGCACTATGTTACTGAATTTTTAGTTTGGTCTGTATGTATGCTTAGTTTGTGTTTATGTGTACTTGTTTTGTTGACCATGTTAAGATTTAGTGAAAAAGTAAGGGGTGATGAAGTAACCCCAGTCGAGTGCCTGAGCAAGAAGGAAAAAGTTCTGGAAACTAATGATTTGGTGGACTTCGACAATCAATGGAAAAATGATCTGCATAAAAATGGATCCAAAAATGAGCCATCTACGTCAGAGAAGGAAGCAGTACAGGCCCAATTTGGAACTCCAACAGAGAAAAGCCACCGACCTCTGAGTGGGCCTCTCATGCCTGGTGTCATCCTAAGTCATTCAATGTCTGAAAGGGGGCACATCTTAGAGAGGTTTATCACACATCCTTAATTATTATTTTTTAGGTCCTTCCTTTGTGCTTGTTTAACTTCTATGCTGGTTGTTCTTTAGGTGTGACATTGATAAACAGACTCACTGTGACATACGAAGAGTGCCCAGCTTTAGTGGCCCTTTGATGCTCCCAAAGCGAGCTTCAGGAAACAGTTTATCTGCTCCCATAAAATTATCAGGTGGTGATGAATTTACCTTGTTTGTGCTGAAAGTGTATAACTACTGCCACTATGTGACTAGTTATATGGAGGAGAATCCACAAATAAGAAATATTGTAACATAGATACTTTTCCCTTATCCAATAGGAATTAGAGATTCTTCGGAGGATAAATCAATGGCCAATCTTGTACAAATTAGAGGGCGGTTCTCAGTAACATCAGAAAATGTAGATCTTGTAAAGGTACAACCATTTTTTTACAATACTCCCTTCCATTAAATGGATGTCACGAACTTAAATATGTATATTAGGATATTCCATTATGTACAGTTCCTCATCGATCATCACAGCTAAACAATCCATTGTTACAATAAACCTTTCTTTCCCCAAAAAAATTATAGATTTGGATTTCTAGTTCCTCATTGATGTTCTATTCATCTGAATTATAGGGCTCGCCACTAATGAAGTCCGCTAGTGTGGGAGACTGGGTATTTGAATCTAAACACATGGTTTGTGGACTGAGCTCCTACATTTTGATTGGATTAGGTTTAGTTAAATATTATATTTCCATGCCATTACCTCCATCTTCTTAGGCTCTGTCTCCATTTTACTACCATATATGATGTCCTATTGGTCATTATTTTTCAGCCTATCGGTGACTCACTGAAAGAAATTGGTACCAGTAATGTGCCTGCATCAATTCTCGTGCCCTACCTTCAAAACCTTTTTCAGCAGACATCAATTCAACAAGTAAGACAGTAAGGCTTTCTATTTATATGTTGGTTTTATGGTTCATTCTTCATATTTAAGTTTGCTTCTAAGATGCTTGATTTAAGTACAAACTATATTCTTATTATAATCTTAGTTGTAATACCAGGATCTCATTATGAATCTGTTCAATAGCTTGCAACCTTCTGAGATATTAGATGGTGAGTGCAAGATCCAATGCAATAATATTTAATAAAATGCCAGTGGAAAAGATTCTGCATGAGTTGGATTGATTTCCTTATTTTGTTTCAGCTTCTCAAAATGGAAAGTTGCTTCCATTACCTCGAAGTTCTGAAAATAATGGAACTGTAAGTAAATACTCCTCTCCTGTATTTGGCCCACTTCAATGAGGTCTTATGTGTGTCCTTAGGAATGCAATTGGTAATTCTTGATTCAGTCACTTGTCAAATGTGCAGTACCCTTGCTTAAGTTTTTGCTTGAAAAATAAATACACGGAAGTGCACCTACAACTGTACCTTAAGACAGTAACATGAATGGTGTGTTCCATTCCGCATCCTTTCAGACCTCTGCAGGATGCTGTCTTTGAGTGATTCTGCTTGTTGCTGTGGGGGGGAGGAACCTAACAGAACTGTTGATCTTGTTCCTTTTGCCTTGTTATGGTTCACCACAAACAGAACTGTGGATCTTTACTGCTGGAAAGTGGGATTTGCTGTCATAAAGATTGATGCTATGTATCAATAACTTGTACATGTATTCTTCTAACAAGATCTGCATCGTGATAAATCCCTAACAAAATAAACCTCTTACATGTTCTTTTAAGTAGCCAGTTGGCCTCAATATACTATGATTAATCATGTACTACCATTGACACATTCATTTATGTAGCCAGTTGGACTCAATATACCATGATTAATCATAAACTAACACTGCATTATCATCTTCATTATTTTATTTGCTCATTTCATAGGTTGAAACAATGGTCTCTGAAAGGGAACATCTACTCCTTACCAAGATTTCAGAGCTTCAAGCTAGGTTTGTGAACAAAGCTTGGATTTCTCTACTTATTTTACACTGTGAGTTAATTGAATGATCTTTCTCACCCTCCCCTCTCTCTCTCTCTCATTTTTGCAGGATGATCAACTTGACATATGAATTATGACTGAAAAATTAAAGTACACACACGTGAGTCGCTTTATTACTGTTAAGTTTGATTTGTTTGTATTTGGACTTTTTATGTGTTACCTCTTTTGGACTGGTGGTTGGGTTGAACATAAGAATTTTTGTACCAAGGTAACTATAACTAATCAATAAGGTAGTTTGAGTAAATGATAATGATGACTTATTTGGACAATTTGCTGACCTAGAATTAAAATTTGGTTTAAAAGTAGTCATTTGAATTTCACCTCTTGGGCATGCTTTTATTACCTGATAAAATAGTAGAGGGATTTTTCTTTAGGATTGGTGTCCCTATATGCTTTTCTATCATTCATGTCAATAGTCTAACAATGATATACATTTGGCTGCCAGTTGCAACAGCAGCTAAATGCTGTGGGTGGTCGGGAAGATGTAGACGGAAGAGAAGGGGATGCATAAACACTTGAAACAAATACTAAGAGTAAATATGGAGTAAAACCACCGTGTACATTGGGGTGAGCTTAATCCTGCAGAAGCTATTTCTCTGGTCGTTGTTATTCTCTACTTAATGCTATCCCCATTTTTGCACATTCTGATTTTATCTTATCTTTCCTTGGGATTTTGATAACTTTGAAAGAAGCAAAGACTAGCATTCATGCTTCTGAGATTATGACCTCTTCTCCTGCTGAATAAATCTTGGAAAGATGTCAGGCTCCTCAAGATAGAAACAAGCAAATTCACCAGCAGAGGAAGATACTATTTCTTTCATATATTTGGCACAAAGAGAAACCAGCTCCTCCCTGGGGTGCCTGATTTGTTTATATATATTCCGTGTTTATAATGTTTCAAGCTTGACAATGTGTTTAACTTGTTAATAGTTGTTTAGTATGAGGCAATAAGCTTGTCCTTTTGGCGACAATACTCTGCGTGTATGGGTTATTATCTGGTGATCCTGAATTGCAGATGCAGCATGAGTTGGACGTTGACTTTTGATTGGCCCAATTCGGAGGAAAGATTTATTTTGGAGGCTCCAAGATCTATATATGCAGATGGTTGCAGCCTACAAGCCCGTGAGGGTGTCAAACGCTGTCCACATACAGTTCTATTGATTGTTGAATCTTTAGATAATGTGATTTGGATCCTAGGGCTCACCCTTTTGTATTGTTGGCTGTTACAGAAATTTCCTCCTGCCTAGTTTTGTGGGGAAATACTACTGTCCGACATACTAAAAAGTAATCCAAAGGTGGATGGCAGCCTAAAAGCTAGTAAGTTTTACTCAAAAGATGATATAGATATTCAAAAAAGTTTTAAGTAAATTTTTGATCCTGTAGTCAAACTTGATTTTGTGGTCATATAACTGCTCTCGCCCTGAAAAGTCCATCTACTTGCAGCTAATTTTCTGTATTCTCGAAAGGTTAATCTCCTGTTACTGTCTCTTGAAAAGAAAACTTAGGGAAGTACTGTTTATAGAACAGGCAAATTAAGGAGGATTTATGGATTATGATTTGGAGATTGAAATTATGAGCAATGGTCTTCTTGGTTTCATTTTAGTTTTGTTAGACAACCTTAACCTTTGGATGCTGCAAGTTATCTAGGAGACTAATCTGTCAGATCCCTCCAGAATGAGGATTAGATGTGGAATTGAGAACTTCTTATTTGGTTTTATTCAGAGGCAATGTAGACAGATTAGAATGGCAACTGAGGTAGAAGTGTTGAAAGCATCAACTCTAACCCTCTCGAGTATCCTCTATGGGTTAATATTAATGTTGTTTTAGATTTTTTAACGGAAAGTAATGGTTGTGTCAATTAAGGTTTTGAGTTCTCTAATTTTTTTTTTAGCTTTTTATGCCATATAAGAGCAACTCCAACGGGGAGTGCTATCTGGGGTGACAAACTCTTAACCGTCAAAATGTCACCCCAAAATTAAAAAATTTCACTCCAAAGAGGGTGACATCAAGAGTGACAAATGACAACAATGGACTTGGGGTGACAAATTTATAAACTCTAGAGAGAAAATGTGAGAGGTTGTAAAAGAATTGTTGGTATCTACTGTTCATCTCAACAGCTATATTTAACCCAAAACTTGTATAAAATTATAGAGATGGGGAAAAGAGAAGGAGAATCGTTGAAGTCTATTTCTCTTGTCTCAGTGATGTCTGAAAATCGTTGGGTTTTGCCTTTGATATTGAAAATCCTCTCAAACGAAAAAACTCTTCTGTCATCTCAATGTATATATGTTTTAACTTTACTGGAGAAGGAGGCGTAGAAGGCGCTGGAAAAGGGAAGGTTGGGAGTGTTTTAATATTGGGTGATTTTGTTTAGGGTTTAGGGAAAAGGGATGGGGAAGGGTTTGGCATATGGGTTGAGTTTGAATTACAGATAATTCTGCTATTATTTATTTTAGGGCAACTGACACCTTCTATTCCAAAATTTTTTGTATTATTAATTTATATATTAAATTTTTTTGTATTGTCAAATCACACCATTAAAATTTTTTGTATTGTCACCATTAATTTTTTTTGTATTATCATATTACACAATTAATTTTTTTTGTATTGTCATATTATACAATTATATTTTTTTGTATTGTCATATTACACCATTAAATTTGTTTGTATTGTTGTATTACACTATTAAATTTTTTTATATTATCATATTATACCCGTTAAAATATAAATATTAAGTGTAATTATATTTTTTAATAAAAAATATTAAATTGACTTCACATTTTAACACCTTTCATTAGAGCATATTTATAATTCAGGAGTGCCAAAATACTGTTTATGTTTATAAATACTTGATTTGGCACCCTATTTTGCCAAGTCATTTTGGAGTTGCTCTAATCATGTCGCATATTCAGGACAGAAAGAAGCGTTCAATTAACACAATTAAATAATTCAGGCTTCAATTAAAAAAAAAAAGTTTAATAATTTAATTAACATAAAAAATCACAGAGGGTTATATATATAATATAGTTCACTCTTTTTTTTATATGAAACTGGAAAGCGACCTATTGAAAACCCCTAAGTATTCCATGGCATCGTTTCCAAAAAACGTGAGGGACTCGAGAATCTAGCAACAAAAAGGAGGTTCCGTTCCTCTCCGATCACTCGCCGGTGCAGTTTAGATGCTACTTTCAGCCTCCTTGGAGCAATGATCCCCCTCCGTCTCACTTCACCCTGTGCTGCTACTACTCTCACATTCAAGCCCCCTCTTACATCTACTTTCGGACCTCTATATACATATCACCACTCCAAAAAGCTCAACCATGTAGGTTATATCACGAGCAATAATGTTTTGTGTGTCTCGGTTCCTAGTTCAACAATTTCAGCAGGTGAACTTAAAACCACCCCCTAGCTTTTTGATTGTTTGATTTATTGCAGAGAAGGTTCAAAAATGGCATGTGCAGAGTGGAGTTCTCGCACGACGCGCCAATTGGTGTGGCCATAGGTGCTTGTATTCTCAATTCGCTTGTATTTCCAATCACTCCCTGTCCGGACGACGATGAAGGTGACTCGGTGATTGATTCCGCCGATGCGAGGTTTGCGGTTATGGCGATCATAAGCTTCATCCCTTACTTCAATTGGCTGGTGAACCCCTCTGTTGTGCCGATGTTATTTCTTTTTTTGTTGCTTCAAGTTTTAATTTGCTTCACACTCCCTCCTCTCTATGTAGAGTTGGGTGTTTGCGTGGTTGGATACTGGGAAAAGACGATATGCTGTTTATGCGATTGTGTACTTGGCTCCCTACTTGAGGTTTGACTCTCAGCTTCCAAATTTAGTGTTAATTGAGCTGCTATATGCTTATGCTAACACCATTCCTAAAGCCCTTTGTGAGGGTAACAGTATATCGTAGGGATTGTTGTTTTTGTTAATTAACTTGAATTAGTCTTAAAAGTTAGTCTTGTTGAGAGGTTTTGATGACCGACGGATCAGTAATCAGTCCTGAAATTAACTTAGAAGAGTATTGAGCTCTTTTTAAAACTGGAGTGGTTAATCTTTTGGCATAAACAACTCAAATTCTCTCTCACTCCTATCCTTCAAGTAGTAATGCATATCATCATCCTCAATAGAATTTTTGTTTGCATTAAAGAAAATTAAATATGTTATATAGTTAGGAATCTCAGCACTGCCTTCTCTTGCAGACTTTTGTCTTTTTCTTTTGATTTTGCTATTTGGTACTTTTTTGCATTCAGTACATACATATGGACGTTAGTTACTTTCTCTTTTTTGTGTCCATTGGGAAGATTTTAACCTTGGATCAAATGCCCTATACTGGGGTCTAGAGATGAATGTGTCTTTGTGTTTGATTTGATCTCCACTGTATTTCTTTGTATGTGCAACCATTCATACAGTATGTGTGTATCTCTATTGTCTTTGTGTAGTCTAAACCAAGTAGGCATCATTTGGTTTATTGAACTCAATGTTCACTTTGTTTAATTGTTTTCACTCTGTGCTCCAGGTGGGAAGTTATGGTTCATTGTCTTTTTGTAGTACAATAAAGGTCATTTAGTAAATGGTGGTGTTGGGGATTTTATCTATTGTGTGTCCATTTAGTGTCTCTTGAACTTCAAGATATACTATTAGTTTTTGATGAAACTGTCAAATGGGTTGGGAAACTGGTATGCTTGGTTGCAATTAAGATTCACATCTATACCTATTACTCTTCACCCAAACCTGCCTGTGGGCCATTTTATTGAGCTCTGTTTGTCACCCCTTACTGGTCATTTTTGAGCATTGCAATAGACATCAGAAAAGTATGGCAGCTTTGTCAGTTTATATAGAGACTTTGAGTAGACATCAGAAACTTTTGAATGAGTGGTAGTTTTTCGATTGTCATTCCATCCTGAAATTTAAGGGTGAGTTCATTATAGTAGTTTTTCCAGAATGATCAGAGTAATTTCGTATACCTTTCTTGGTGATTTTTGGATAATATCAAATCTAATCTGAATGGTTAAGGAATTTTTTTTTTTTTTTTAAATTAAACACTCCTATTATATGTTTTTGTATGTACTTGTCCTTAAAAAGAATGAGAATTTGTCTTTTTATTGTCTTGATCAGTAATATTTAATGCAGTTTAATGGCATCTGGCGCTAACACGTAGCTAAGACAACGATGTGTGGCATCAAGTGCACCTTTGCCTACTGGTCATTAAAAAGAATGAGAATGCATGTTTCAATTGTCTTAATCAGCAATGTTTAGTGCAGTTTAATGGCATCTGGCGGTAAAATGTGGCTAAGAAAATGATCACCTGTGCTTACTCTTTTAATGCAAAAGTTTCTTTGATCATAGGTCAAATTTGTCGCTGTCGCCTGAGGAGAGCTGGCTGCCTATTATTAGCATTCTCTTGTGCATCATTCACATCCAGGTAAGAACTTATCTCTGCATTAGCAGCTGGCTCATATATTGTTGTGAAGTTCTGATTGGCAGTTTTTCTTATCGGTAGCTGGAAGCAAGTATTAAAAATGGAGATCTCGAGGGTTTTCAGCTATTTAGTGGAAGTGGAAAGCATCTCTTGTCAGTCAGTAGAAAGAAGGAAAGTAGAATCTCCAAAGAGGTAACAATCACCGGAAGCACAGAACTAATGTATATTATATGCTGTTTACGCTTTATATCCATGTCTGATGTGTGTGGGTCTAATCTTGGATGTCAAGGAGAGGAAAAAAGATCACATGAACCTGCCTTCTGCACAAGATCAATCTAGAAATGTGACACGAGAGTGGGGAGATCCTAGAAAGCCTTTAAAAGATCCTGAACACTTGGGTGAAGATGGAGCCGCCAATGGGGAAGGGAAACACTAGAAGGTCTTGAATTCCTAGTGCAAATGTCGGACTGCAATACTTGGTTTAGAGTCTGCCCACGAAATGGATGTATTTGCTGGCATCTGTCTCATTCTTTTGTTGTGGCGCATGAGCTGTAGAAGACCTAAAAAAAGTTTGGCTGTGGATGAAACAGTTCAAGTGGGTTAAATTGACACAATTAAGTTCGAGATCCATCACCGAACGTTGAACTAGAACGAGAAGTTCAAGTTTTCAAAATTGTTGTTTACTCAAATTTTTTGATCAGGAGACATGCAACTTTTTATTTGGTTTATCTTTTGGACCTTCGTAAGGAGATGATCACTCCGAAGTGATGTGCGTGATTTGGGTATGGTAATACCCACAGTGAAATCAAAGGTTATAATTATCAAGTTTAATTTTTAAGTCTATTTTTTAAGTCCATATAACATTGTTCTACTTTTTTTTGTAGATTAGTGGAGAGTTGAAACGTCAGTGTGTCAATAGTCATACTACCGAAGAAAACCTCCGTCAGATATAGCCCAAGTGCAAGGACAATTTTGGCTTCTAAAAATGCAAATATCCGTAGAGAGAGAGACTCTCTCTTCCAACTCGCATTAATATCACCAACTCCACCCTTAGCCCAATGCCAAAACCCATATAAACACCCCCCGCAATAATCCTCATTAGTCAACCGCACCGTGCCCCAACTCCAAATGCCACCCAACCACTCAAGACAAAGTTTCACCAGCCGACCACCTCCGCCACTAATTAAAGCCCCCCGGGGCCCATCCCCAAAAATCCCTACCAGTCGAACCCTCCAAGTTACGTTGCCCAGCAAATACAACACTATCTCAATTTGAATACTACACGTAATTGCCATTGCTTTTACGCCTACAACACCTTCTGAAATACCAATTCAAAGACCAGGAGTGAATTCGGGGATTGGGAGGGCTGGTGGACAGAGCTGGGTTAATGTCCAATCAAATACCCATTTTTGATCGAAGAAGCCCATGATACGCAATTCCGGGTGCCCATCCTCATCTGAGGTGAACAAATTGAGGATTCAAAAATGATGCTCTCTCTCCATATGGTGCCATGACCGATGAATCGAAATACAAAATGCACCTACATTCCAGCAACAAAAACAAAAAGAAAAACACAACCCAGATGATAATTTTCACGTTGCCCTCGAGTCTTCTTCAAAATTTTCATGCTCAAGGTTGAGTTGAGCTGCAACACATCACGTGTTGCCTGTCCAACTGTCCTCCCACGTGATATCATTGTTTCAAATAACCGATTCCCTTCCTTACCCCTCTCCTATTTTTTTTTGATCCACTACCCCTCTCCTATTGAATTAGCATACATCTCATTATGTCCTAATCCTTTGATCGTATGAATGCACTATCACTATATCTGATTTAATAACCAATTCAGGACTCTCTCTCTGCCATCCATTTTATAGATCTTGGGGCATTTAGGCATATGGGATCTTACCCTCACAAAAAATGCCTCGGCTATGAGCTTATATCCATCCCTAAAACATGATTTATCATTCTTACAAAGGTAGAGGGTCATTCAGGTATTTTTGCCTTCCGCTTGTCTTTTTTCCTTCGCCAATCTGTCGACAGAAACTCAAGCCAATAATACTTTTTCCCCTCCTAAGCTCTGTCTCCTTCATAGATTTGAAAGAGTGAAACAGTACATACACACACAGACACAGAAGAGAGAGAGAGAGAGAGAGATGGGTTGTGTTAGAACTCCAAGATACCATTTGTGTTATATTTGGCAGTTATTTCTGTTGATTCAATCTAAAGCTTTTTGCTACCAATACAAGGTTGGAGATTTGGATGCCTGGGGTATACCCACTTCTGCAAACCCACAAGTCTACAACAAGTGGTCCAAAAATCACAAGTTCAAGATCGGAGACTCCCTCAGTAAGTTTCTCTTCACTAATCTTTCCTATCACTTGTTCTAATTCAAGAGTGCAACATATTACCCACAAATATTTTATCCTAGTCTCAATGGTATCAGTGGTTGAAGAACTAAAGCAGTTATTTCTTTGTAGTGTTTCTGTATCCACCAAGTCAAGATTCACTGATACAAGTCACAGAGGATGCCTACAAAAGCTGCAACCTAAAATACCCAATCCTATACATGAACAATGGCAATTCTCTCTTCAACGTCACTTCTCCTGGCGAATTCTACTTCACCAGTGGAGTACAAGGGCATTGCGGAAAATCACAGAAGCTCCACATTTCTGTGCCTGGAAATGGTACTTCTGCATTCTCACCCTCTTACGGTCCCGGTGCACTGCCAGCAACTTCTCCATCTTACCCTACAGTCTTTGGATCGATCCCGACGCCACCTTCTTCTTCTTCTTCTTCATCACTGCTAAAATTTACAGCGTTCATGGAGGCAGCCATTGGATTTTTCATATGCGCATTGATCAGTGGCAGGGTATAAAAAGGAACAGTAATTTTGAAGGTTTTATTAATTAATTGGAGGTATGAAAATAAATTCATATGGCTATATATAATTGTATTTGAAATACCCACCATATTTACTTCAGTATGTTCCCTTCAGAAGTGATTTTTCATTTTTATGCATTCATTTGTACAAGATTTTCGACCATGTAATTCATTCTCAGTAATTTAAGATAATAACACGTTTTCATTAGAGCTCCAGTTCTTATGGCAGCAAGCAATACTGCGATGATTCCTTTTTTTAAATCCCCACCAATTACGCATTGAAATTTTATACTTGGGACTGGGCTGTCGGAGAGAGAGAATTACCTTTATCATAAAGAGAGATCAGGCGGAATCAAATCCAATGTTATCTCTGTCCTTTACCTTCCTCTTTTGCTCTTTCCTAAGAAAAGCAAGCACTAATTTCCATGTCCAACAACAAAACACCCCTTTCGATTCATACATCTCCAGTTCAAACCCAAAAAAAAAAAATAATAATAATAATAATAAAATTCATACATCTGACCCACTGCTCTTAATTATAAATTTGCTAGCTGCAACCGATCTGGCCCACAGGTCCTCATTTCTTTTATATGCAAGATGCACAACGGGCTACATTGGTGCCACTGCCACCCAGAAACAGATGGGAAGCTACTTGCATAACTATCCACTGAAAAAAGGTACCAACTGGTGCCATAATGCCCATAAATTAACCATAAAAAATTGAATTGGTTGTCTACAGCCAAAATTGAAATTGGACCTCCTTGGGCACAAATTTCCTTTGCTTTTTACTCGATTAATAATAAATGGAATAGGCACAAGCAGAACAAGAATATGTGACTAGATTAGATGCTCAAAATAAGTTGCATAACAGAATGCAGGTATTCAGCGAGCTATTTCCACATCTAGGTTCATTGGCTTCACTTCAGATATATATGCCACCTCAGGGGCTGTGACATCTGCAAACTGTGTTACTGTGGACTTCAATTCATCTCCCCCAAATGGATTTCTTATCTGAGCAGCATTGGCATCAACTTCCATGGCCGATGCTCTAGGAGGTGATGAGGGCTGCACCTCCACATCTGGGTAAGCAGCCTTAAACCTTGCCCGCAGGCCTTCATCAACTAACCGTACCCCTTGCAACTGATTACCAAGTGCCATCCATCTGAGATATTAACAGAACAAGATAATCAATGAACAATATGAGCTGAGAAGCTATAGAACACGAAAATTATGACAAATCAAAGCTGGAATCTTGCAGGCCAATTATTTGTGCAAGGCCATTTCACCAAAAAATAAATAAATACAATTCCTGCACATACAGTGGTCAGGATAAACTTGACACATCAATATTTTATTTCTTTCAATGCATTTGGATACCTCCAAAAAAAAACGTCTGTGATAGTATCTTGCAAAGTTATCAAATCAAGAGATAATATAGATTTTGTTGCAGTGAGTATTTGCTCAACGTGGGCACTTTAATTATGCACTCTAATTTTTTTTCTCCTAACCATTCACACTATATAATATATTTATATTTATTATATTATTTTAATACATAAAGTCCATTTAACATAAAAAATGCCAAAAAAAAAATGTATATTGTCAAGTGCAGAGCCATGAATATCTATGTCTATAAGATCATTATCATCTTATACAGAAATTCCCTACTCGAAATAGTTTGAAATATTTTTGGGTTACAACCTTATCTTTTGTATACAATCGTATTTTATTAGGTTATAGACTACTATTACTTAAAAAATAATAAATGAAAACTAAAAATTGTTCTTAAAATATAATGAACATTGTGTTAGATAAATAAAAATATTGTAGATTCGTCAATATACAAATAGATCATTGACTCAGTCCAAAACTAACATTTATTTTTGAGGGTTAGTGGTCCACTAATTTATTGAAAAAAAAAAGACTAGAACTATTATTGAAATTTTTAAAAATTTAGGGGGGGCAAATATAATGTATAAAATAATTGAGTAATGCTATTAAAACCTAATTCACTATGACCTTTGGATTGACTATGGCTTCCATCAAACATTGGAACTTGGAGTTGATCCAATGGTTCCACTGAAACCACATCATTATGTTTGCAAATTAGATTAAATTTTTAGGTCCAAATAAGATTACTCAAAATAATTTTATGGGTCCTCATCTAAAATGGTCCAAAAGTTTTGGGAGGGGGGGGGGGGGGTAAGTGCCCACCCTGATCCCCATGTAGCTCCGCCCATGGCCATCATTAATTTTTTCTACGCTGTCGCACACCCAGTCCATAATAATTTAGGTGCCACGCTCCAATCATTCTACAACAATAGGTGAAGCTCCTATATACCAACATGGACAAGCATCAACACCTCAGCAGCAGGTGCTAACCTCATACATTCCCTTGGCCATAAGCAGTGTAGTATTTCCCCTTGCTTTTTATTTGAGTTGGGTTGTTTTTAATTTTGGGAAGAGGGAGGGCAGACAAAAATAGGAGGATAGGCATAACACAAATCATTTATCACAACATGATGACCATCAACCCATCAAAAAGGAGTTAATGACAAATTGAAGTATGCTATCAGATGCTTCAGTCCTCAAGTTATCTGCATATCTAGATGGTCCAATCATTCTTAACTCTCACGAAATGCCCCTCAGGTATGTCCCTCTAGTTTCATTCAGCTTCAATAGTTCTATTAAAAGATCTCAAAGTAGGCAACTGATGTAGATTAAAGAAACCATACCCAGCATGACAGTTATGCATCCTAGCAAACAACTCCAGCTTTCTTGTCCTTGGACTTATCCTCTCCAGCATTGGGTACATCTGCACGATGACATGCAATTAAATTAACACACTACTGCAATAGGAATGAATTACAGTATAGCCATCTGCTATAAAAACTTAAAAAAGGTTATAGCCATCACAACGTAACAAGCTACACTACATTAAAGACCAAAGCTGAACAACTACTAAATTGGTGTTCTACTTTTTTTTCCCCTGCCAAAACAAGTAGTTCTATTTACCTCATCTGGCTTGCGGCTTGTTTCTCGAACCTCGGCAACAACAACATCAGTATCAATATTCCTGTTTACTTCCGGATTGCCCTTTATTCCAACAAGGCAATGCTCCTTACTGTGGTTAAGCCAATGGCCGGTGCGGCCTGTTCTGATAATTCGCTGAAGTTGATTGGTCTTCACCCAAATGAGCTCCTCAATACGCTTGTATCCCCAAAGTTCTAAACTGCAAGAAACATTGACTTTCATGTAAGCTAGCTGCAGAGGGACACTTCCTTTACTCAAAAGAATCAAATAAAACCTCTTTATGCAATATCTCAGTACTCTGTCCATGTGTACAGAACGGACATAAATTTATTCAGGAGAAAGAACCCAAACATGCTTGTTTTAAACTAATTAAGAAGTTTGTGTCCATGATGAATATCTGAAGAGCTCAGACATAAAAGGTCATACCCAATGCACAGGGCTCGTGCGGTCACAAGGTCAGGGAGGTAAATGATAAGACAGCCTTACTTCATCATGGAGAGGCTGATTCACATACTTACAAAGTAGAGCTTAGGCATGTGATTATAAATAGTGTGTTTGTCATGCTTTTACATTTTCATCAATTGTTCCACAAACTTAAGTCCCTGCTTTTGGCATATTGGACAGAATATTTCAGGAGGTACATACAGCAACATTCTTAGTATCCTATTAATTTAAAAGCGTTGACTTGCAGGATGTACAACACTGTAAAGGCAGATAAGAGAAAACGTCCACCACAGAAGCTTGATCCACATTATAAATGCAGCACAGATAAAGATGGCCTACCATTCGCGTCCAAGCTCCATTGCACGTCCAGTGACCCATAGAAATATTAGACCATCAGTCTGCAATGCAGGAACATTAAGACTGCGCATTTCATCATCAGCCATAGTCCCATAAGGCAATTCCATATGAATGTCCCATGGCGGATCAGCCATTATAACACCAAACTGCCCTAATATGTCCATCCTAAAGTTACGAATATCACAGTTAATCCACTGTGCTTCACCTAACTCTACCTCTGAACAATAGTCGGCGCGCTGAGGCTTCAGTGGCTTTGGAGGAGGTAAAGCATTACCTCCCATCATTGCAGGTGGAACATCTGGTGTTGAGTCAAGCTCGTAATGGACATACTTGCATGTCTATCACAAATATGGATTCATTAAATTATTACAACCATTACTAGAAATCACTACTCAGGTAGATTAGAAATATCAATTCACCTTCATGTGACGACAGGTGTCCAGAAAAGAGCAGTCCCCCAAATTGACATCAGTGTGGGGAGCAATTATGCGCCGAAAATGAACCTAAAACAAGGGGAAATTTAGCAAAACAACATCTAACAACAGTTGCAGTTGCAATCAAGGAACTTTTACGACCATACAAGTACAGAAGATTGAAAAAACTGTTGGATGATAATATTTAAACAATAGATTAAACATTACTATATAAATTTAGATTACAAAAAGTTATTCCATTTAAGACCCTAAGTGACGCCATCATAATGCTTTCGATAGTTGATTTGTTTGAACTAAAGGCATCATGCGATGAGGTAATGCAAAAAAAGATAATTTAACCCACTTCTCAGATGATCATTTGACGACTAAATCTTGTCAAGAACCCCTTATGAAAGAAGATTTGTTAAGATCTAGGAATCATCATTACAAGAAATGTGCCAACTGAAGTTCATTATTGAGTCATCGAAATTGGTTATAGTTATGAGGCTATCTTTTTGTATGTCATGAGCTAATGCCTGACACATACTATGACCAAACCTTGTCAAGACCCCCTTATGAAAGATTTGTGATGATCTAGGTAGCACCCTAACAAGACATGTGCCAACTGAAGTTCATTAAAGTCATTGAAACTGGTTACAGCTACAAGCCTATTTTTTTGTATGTGCAGTAAGTTATTACAGGACACATATTGTGTTTGCACCAACCTTTTCACAGGCAATATAGGAACCAGATTGACGTCGGCAATCTTGTTTCGTTAAGGCTGAACAGTATTCCTTCACTTGGGAACCGCCTTTACTTTTGAACTGAAACAAGATTCAGCAACAATGACATTTATAAACATAAACAAAGTATTAAATATATCATTACTATTAAGAGTTCTAACATCTGTAAAGATGCAACATAAGAAACAGGGGATACCAAAGCATTAAAAACAATATTACATAACTAAGAAGCCTTGGAATCTGTTTTAATTGGGGAAGAAGTCGACAAGCGAAAAGAGAAAACATATTTTCATTTCCCTTGCTTGAAAGGGGTGGAAATGCTAGATGACTTTCACGGAAAGCAGTTTTCCAGATTACCTCAATCCTCTCTCACAGCATAAGTTTCGTCCAAAGACAGACCAAGTATATTCATTACATAAGCTAAAAACTTCAAATACCTTTGCAGCGACAGCTGTTTCCCTAGCAGTGGGCCGATGAATAAGGTCCAAAAGCTCCTCTCCGGTTTTCGATTTCTGCATTTCCCTGAAAGACTTCTTGTTCAACAAAGCCTCGAGATCCTTCAGATCATCCTCCTCACTCCTGGGCTTCAAAGGAATCACATGTGATCCACCAATTGGCCCCATTGGAGGTCTATGCATTGGAGGAGGAACACTCATCCCTCTGGGCATTCCCATCATCCCCACCATCCCTCTCGGCCCACCTCTTGGCCCCATCATCAATCCTCCCGGCCCTCCACCTCCTGAAAACATCGGGAAATGTGGGTCCCCTGGTCCAGGTCCCATCCACGTATCCTGCATTGGCCTCGGCACCAGCTTTCCCAATCCAAAGTCCCCACCGTTAGCATTAACATCACCACCACTCGGTGCCACTTCTTGAATTCGATTTCCATCATTCAAACTCGATTCGTTCAGTTTACTTTCCGGCAATTCTTTCACAAGCCTAGTTCGATCAATATTCATAACCATAACCCTAGATTTCCCACTCACCACAAATTCTTCTAATTCGACGCCACCATTTTCCTCTGCCATCGACCTCAAAGCCATCTCCACCGCAAGAATGGCCCCCGACTCCCCACCTACCTCCCTCAACGCCGCCTTCTCCGCAGCTGTGGCCGACTGATCATTCTCCAGCTTCCTCAACACCGTCGAAGAGTCAATCGCCGTAAACGGCACTCTCTCCAACAGACACACCGCCACCATCGAACGAACCACCGCTAACGGATTCCCACTCTCATCAACCACAAACTTCTCACTCTCGGATCGACGACCCGCCACTTCTGGCGATTTCTTTATCTGCAAATTCTTGGAATTACTGATTTTCGGCTCGGCCAAGCGGCGAATTGAGTGCTTTTCCGGTGTATTTTCGGGTTCTGATGGCAGTAGAAATTGGGGATTTTTGTGGACGCGATTAGGGTTTGGGAGGGGTTTGGGTAGGGGAGTGTACGGACGGGCATTGAAGGTGGAGATAACTTTGAGAGAGAGATCGAGAGAAGAGACAATGTCGGGGACTAGGGTTTGGAGAGAGGCGATGAGGTCCAGCTGAGAGTTGCGTTGGTTTTGCACACGTGATTCGAGCTGTTGACGCATGTCTTTGACAGTGGCTATGTTGTTATCAGCACCCTCTGATTGGGATTGGCTCTCCATCTCTGTCTCTCTCCTGTGTTCTCTTCCTCACAGTGTGATTTGTAAATACTCAACTCAAAAGCTGTGTTTTAGTGAACACAGTTTCTGTATCTTTTACCAAGCAAGCAAGCAAAACGACGATATCTGTGTGTGTCACTCTAGCTCTGCGTGTTGTTTGGTTGGGGTTTTAGTTTTACGGAGGTTAATGCAGTAGAAGTACTGCAAATCAACGGGTGAATAAGTCCGAAGATCAAAGGACCTTATTAGCGTTTGCTTGGATCGAAAGAATTGGGGAGAGTCGAAAAGAAACGGTAGGAAACCACAGGTTCGTTGACTGTGTGCTTCATGATCACGAAAGTTGCCCCGTCGCCTCCGTCTATCAGCAGTCTCACAGCCCACGGTATTAATGGGCTTCCCAGCCCACCATATAAAGTTAGCGTGGATAGCCCATTAGCCCGATGGGTAAAACTAATTGGTCACTGCTCTTATATTTGGTTTTTTTAGAGACGTGAATTATATTGTGTTCGTATGAATCACATATCGTGTTTTTTGTGTCGTATTCGTGTCAAGATTCATAAAAAAAAATTTATTTAATATATTTTAAGTATTAAACATTAATATAAATTATTAATTATGTGTATTTAATAATTATATTAATTTTATAATTGTTTATGTTAGATTTGGGTCAAATACGTATCAAGGGGTTAAAGTTGACACTTCCAAACTTTTTCTTGGACTACGAGCCTTTGACGTCTGGGCTGATAAGTTGCTCTAGATTTCTCAAAAAACCAGGGAGAGACGTTTACGAAATGAGTAATATTATATGCACCTAAAAAATTGATCTAATTTATTAATTTAATGATGTATTTTTATAAAAATTATTGAATCAACATCAAGTTTCAATATTTGATTGGGCTTGCAGTGAATTTAAATATCACAGTGAATTAGGTCAACAAATTATGTCAGTAAATCAAGTTCCAATAACATTACTCTTTACAAATAGCATTGCTCTTTACGCACACCACAAATAGATTTATACTATTAATAAAAAGAGGTGATGAGTTTTGATGTAAGTGCATGATAAATAATGTGTTTTCAATTCGTATGAATGCCCATAAATTCAAGAGATTATTTTTTTAGATGCTCCAAATATCAGCTTTAAATAGAGGGATACACTAGAGAAAACTCAAAAGAGTTGTAAACTAAGGAATGATCAGCAAGGAAAGGCAAAAGAGAATTAAAAAAATAAAAATCTTTACACTTTGTTTATTGTACAAGGCAAGGTCCGATTTTGATGGACATATAATAGTTCCTCACAATATTCAGCTGATAATGAGAAAGGTCGTGTTTGGATGTCCAAAAAAAAGGGCAGGCGGGTTTTGAGCTATCATGCACTATCTACGTTTCTTTGCGGCAAAACATTTTACTTCCCAAAAAGAAATTTAGAGAAAGGGCTTAAATGCATGTAATTTACCAAATTTATAACAGTAGGACTTCAAGTTAATATATCAACATACTAGTAGTTCCTCCTCGGTACACAGAAAGTAGCCTTTGGTTATTATTGTCCATTGCCTGCCTGCATGGATTGAGCATTAGATCGGCTCAAATGTTTTAGATCTATGTGGTTAATCTTTCAGATCTGTGGGCTGATGTTTAGATCTACAAACTGATCTTTGTGAGGTCGACTTCCAATTCTGTGAGTCTGAGTGAGAAAGTGTGTAAGAGAGAGAGAGAGAGAAAAGAAGAAGATGACACTGATGAATTAGCAAAAACGTGAATCACATTAGATTACAAGATAAAAAAGAGGATGTTAATGTGAATTTAATGTCCTAAATATATAATGTCGGGACTAGAACAGACAGGAAGTCCCATTAAAAAAAAAGCCCCCACCAAACAACTGTAAAAATTACTTTTAACCCGAGCGGGCGGGTTTAAACAAAACCAATAACTTGAACGCTTATCCTAAAAACAAGCGGGTCAACTGTTTTTGTGATTACAACATGTAAGTTCTGTCAGTTATGTCTTACTCTCATCTCATCATTCTCGTGTCTATTATGTGATGATTGTTCAAAATTATCAGTCTTAATTGTATATGATTTTTTTTCCAGTTGGGTTTGTACTTTCTGTGATTGAAAGTTATTGGGATTATTAACTGAACTGACTTGGGAATTTGAGATGAAACGAAATTCCTTCCACCGTGTATTTTGATATTTTTATTAGAGTTTTTTTGAGAGTCGGTACACTTTTTAACATTTATTATGCTAGAAGTTCAAGTGGAAAAATATTTTGTCTAAAATTCCATTTGAGAATTCAATATCTAATATGTCCCTAATAACAAAATAAATGCGCTCATAAAACCAATTAAAAAACCTTATTTATGGTTAAAGTAAATTTGAAAACTAATATTCTTAAATTTTAAAGTTTTATCATATTACAATTTTTTTTTTCTCTCTCTCTATAGAGAATGAGATAAGAATAAGATACAAATGTTTTTAAATTTCTAAGTTGGGAAAACACAAGAACGACTCAGATCATTCCACATAATTCAAAATTGATCCAACGGTGTTTTTAAATCTCAATCACCACCTCTTATTTTTTAATAATAAGATAGAAGTGTTTTTAAATCTCAAAATTATAAAAGCATAAGAACGACTCAGATTATTTCACATGATTTAAAATCGATCCAACAGTGGAGAAGATATCTTATTTCTCCATTTTCCCTCCAAAGTTTATCAATCGCCACCTCTTATTTATTAATTTTTTTGAAAGGTTCCGCTGCCTATTCTCTCTCTCCTCTGCTCTCACTCTCAGTCTCACACGCTAGAAGCTGGACATCCACCAACGCCTCCTCACTCTCCGTCTGTCCGTCTACCTCCTTCAACTCTCTCATCCCAATGCCACAACAAGCGCCGCCACTGGGCACCAGGACCACCGCGAGCACCAACACATCCGCCAAGTATTTCTTTCCCTCCCATCTCTATGTTACACACATACACAAGCCCCGAATCCCCCCAAACCCAAGCCCTCCCCTTTCTTCGGTTGCCTATGCAAAAGTCCCCTCCCCAAATCTTCTATTTTCCCCACCAGTGACTCGGTCTAATCATGAGGCTCTCTCTCTCTCTCTCTCTCTCTCTCTCTCTGTGGATTTTTTCATGAATTAAAGGTTGTGACAAATTGAATCTTGTATGCTAATTGTTTTTTAAAATGCTTTACTCATAGATATATTAATGTCAAAACTTAGATTAATGGGTTGGAAAGTTTAACACCCTTGAAAACTACTACCGGAATCTATTTAAGTTTGGTAATTGTTATGTACTATTATTTGAATGCAATGATTTTTTGTATCCCTCTAAGATATTGTTGTAGTTTAAGACTTTTAAGTAGTGTAAGTTGTTCGATCAAATTGACTTTAAGGTGTTTTAGTTTTTTTAATTTACACAGTAATTGATCAAATTGACTTTAAGGTGTTTTAGGTTTTTTTAATTTACACAGTAATTAATTTTGTTTCGAGATTGATTGTGTCACCTTCATACATTTTTGTCACTTAGATTTCATGTTTGAGCACGTTCAAGACCTTCGAAATAGGTGATTTAGGTTTCAACGTTCTGCTTGTGTGTGTATATATATCAATAATACAAGTGTATCATAATATAAATTCACACTATCAAAATTGTGACATAAGGAATACAGTGACACATAAAAAAAAAAACAGTGACAAATGAAAAAAAAAAATAGTGATACAAGGTGTGACTCCAGAAAAACTATGACAGTAAAGTGTGAATCTAGAAAACAACATTATATGAAATTAAAGATCAACTAATTTTATAGTATTACTAGAAAGTGTGACTCAAAAGAGCTATATCATACAAGAGTGATTTCATAAAATGGACTTTAGAAAAACAACAAAAAAAAAAAAAAAAAAAGGGCCCAAAAAATATAAATCACTATCAATTCATCCTCTATGGCAAACAAGCGTCGAGTTTGAAGTCACCGATGCTGAGAACCTTGTTGATTGAAGCTTAAGGCTTCTAAACACTGACAATCTAAAAAATTGCGTACGTCTAGACATTACAACTTGCAAGGACTTATGCAACTCTAGATCAAATGGAGAGAACTGTGGACGCTCATTCTACACGTGCAAAGTTGCAAAAGGTGCTTTGATGATTTGATAGAGGGGATTTTGTTTTTTGACATTTTGATTACCATTCTGCATCTATTGTCAGTTTTTGGAAGTAGCAAGTACTTGTGTCCTCTCCAAGAGATGGAAATATCTGTGGATGCATGCTAGGGATCTGAACTTTTATTTTCCAAAGAAGTTGTTAGCCATCCGGAAGGATCGCACATTACTTGAAGTCGAAAGGGCAAAATACATTAGTTGGGTGAATCGAGTTCTACAACAGCATGACGGTGCATTTATCAATGAATTCAAAGTTAATTTTGACATGGACTCTAGGGATAATTGTGATATTGATGAGTGGATCAGCTTTGCATTTGGAAAGAAAGTTCAAAGACTTGAACTGGACCTAAAAGGAGCTAGGTGTCGTTATTTACCTAATCACACTAACCATTATCACTTCCCGCATGAGGTTTATTCTCACATAAAAAGCCCTTATGGTTTGCCCTGCATTAGATTCCCAACACACGTCTCTTTGAAATTTGTCACTCTTGCTGCAGAGGTTGTTGAGCACTTCTTTTCCAACTGTCCACTTCTTGAACGGTTGTTTGTGCATGGCTTACAGTGTCGTAGTGTCATGATGGGAACAAAATGGCTCTGTGACAGATACAATATTATGAGTTTAATTGTCCGTGTGACTGGTAGAAAGAGAAGTTATATGATCAAGAGAGTTAGATGTTTCAATGACGTATTTTATTTGCTCAGTCTAACTGACGTATTTTACTTGCACAATCAAAACGTCTAAATGATGAAAAACTAATTATTAAAATGGATTGTCTACGTGACTAAAAGTATCCCAAGTGTTCAAGTTTGTTTTCGTAACTGAGATAAGTTAAAACTAATTTTT